CGCCTGCCCCTCCTGCTGACGACGCGGAGTTCAGTGCCTGGGTGTCTGGTGATGGTTACTGATGACAATGTGTAGCGCATGATTGTTTTTATACAAGAACATTTCTAATAAAAATAAACACATGGTTTTGCACCCGGGCTCCGCATCCGCTGGCAGTCCCGCCATGGGACGTGGGCACCACCTGCAGCCAGAGGGCCTGAGTGGTGGGAAGGAGGGGCGGGCGTGGGGACGTGGGCCTGAGGCTCCAGGCTCCTCCCTGGGCAGAGACCCAGCGGCCGTGAGGAGAGGCCAGGCAGGGAGGACCCGGTGTTCAGGTAAAAGGCAGGGACATGGCAGGGAATTCCGGAAATCAGTGCCTTGGCTTCCAGGGCTTCCAGCACCACAGCCCTCCCCTCCCGCTTGGCCAGGTCCCAGAGGTCGGTGGTGGCCTCCGTGTCCGGGGCGGGTGTGTGGCCCACCCCTGCCCCCGTGGGCTGTCTCGGTCGTGTGTCTCTCTGTGCCCGGCCCCTCCACATGCCTGCCTGTCTCTCGTGTCTGCCTGGCCCAGGGAAGTGTGAGCCCGTGTCACACATCATGGGGATGCCCGTGCCAGGCCAGCAGCGTGCGTGTGCTTGTGTGTCTGAGCCGGGGGCCTTGGCAGGCTGGGAGGTGGCTTAGGGCTGGGCCCCGCCAGGGGCGAATTACAGAGCCACCCGCTCCGCCCTCCTGCCCTGCTCCAGCTCCTCTCCAGGCCCCGAGCTCCTGCCCCTCCATAGCTGGGAGAGGTGTGGAGTGCAGTGACCAAGAGCCCGGGGGACCCGGTCCGGGGGCACGGCAGACTGGGTACAGGGGTGTGCGTGGGGTAGGGCCGACGTTCGTGCCCCTCTGTAAGCCTACTGCTGCGGGAGGAGCATCTCACATACCCGTGCTCGGGAGATGGCTCCTCCCCGGGTCCGTGAGCTGCACCTAGTGTGTGCTCAGTACCTGCTGCGTAAGAGATGGAGAGACGGCACCAGGAGGGTACCTGGACCTCCACTCAGAGCAGCTTCCAGGGCAGCGTGTGGGGGGAGGGAGTTGGGAAGGGGTGCGGCCAGACCCCTGGGTGGTTCTCTGTCAGCACTCCCGGCCTGGGCACCTGGTCACTCAGGCCCATCCCCTCCTGAGATGCCTGACTCAGACCGGACGCTAGCAGAGAGCCTGGCCTGGAGGCCGCAGGCTGTCTGGGCTTCGGGGGAAGCACTCTCCTTCCAGGGGCGGTGCCACTCCTCTGCAGAGGAGAGGGTGGGGAGGCTCTGGTCTGGCAGGCCCATCAGCGCCCCACACCCCCCAGGCTCCATCCCTTCCAGCCTGCCAGGGCCCTTTGAGGGCATGTGGGGGATATCGAAGTAGAGGAAGATGCCGAGTCCGTGGGAGGAAACCCCACTGCAGGGAGCATCCAATCCCACCAGTGACCACCTCGGGGAGCCAGGCGGAGGTTAGAGATGCTGTCAGAGCCACATCCTTATGGTGTAGGGACTCACAGGAAACCCACGGCTGGGGTGCAGGTTTTGAGCAGCTGAGCCTGGGGCACAGAAGTTTAGGTCCCCCCAGGCCTGAAGAGGACAGGAGGGACAGTCCCTAGTTGGACTCAGGCGAATCAGGCCTGCTCCAGCAGGGTGGGGCATGGCCCCGCTGGGGTCCTGGGCCCAGCATGAGAAGGCCTGGGCGGCCCAGGAGGCCTCCACCGACGCGTGGAAGGGCACGTGGCCCCCAGGCTGGCGGGACGTTCCCTTCATTCTCCGACCTTGCTCACGGGCTCACGTGGGACAACAGGAAGGCAGGCAGCTGCTCCGTATCTTCAGGATTTCCTATTTCAGCCAGATGGGGGTTCTCAGGGACAGGCAGGCACTCCCCCCACCCCTAAGACTCCTGCTCTGTGGGGGCTCTGGAGGCGCTGTGCTCGCTGCCCCCTCACCCTGCTCCAGGTGCGGGTGACAGGGTCACACTAGTGGGGACTGTGTCCTCACAGCCTGCTTCCTAGCCGGTGGGGTGCTCAGGGAATACAGCCCCAGCATCTCAGAGCAGGGGCCTGAGTCTCTCTGGGTGGGGCTGGGCAGGTTTTAGACCATGGTGTAGACAGGGCCGGGGTGGTTCCAGCCCTCGGGTTTGTTAAGCCAGGGGGGAGTAACAACACCCACTCAAGATCTTGTCTGGGCTCACGCCCAAGAGGGACTCTTCTAGCCTGAGAGGCGCCGGCCCAGCTGCCAGGCCCATGGGATGGCTTTGTGGACCCCTGGGGCCCTGGGAGACCAGTGGGTGAGCTGAAGACTCAGGGCCCTTCCGGTGCAGACGGGCTGGCTCTGAGTTCCGGTGTCCAGGGTCTGTTACTCCCATCCGGCCTTCTCAGGCCCCCGGGGGTGGAGGCACCATACCTGCCTGCCCCTGGCACCACCTCGGCCTCTAGGCCTCTGAAGGGGTGCGAGGGAGCACTCCAGAAGATGCTGAGCATCGAGGAGCTACTGAGGCCCTCTCCCTGGCTCGGGGGCTCCACTCTGCCCTGCAACCCTGTACCGCCTGGCCGTCCCACAGGGCTTGGCTCTGGCACTCTGAAACTCGCAGGGCCTCCCCCCAGACGACTGGCACCGAATGGCACACGCGCCAGAATCTCACTTCAGTTGGCAAAAGCAGCAATTAGCATCTAATGAGGCTTCTTGCTTTATTTTTAGGTAACCTCCAAGGCCCAGCCTGTGTAATTCAGCCCGCCATTGCTCCACAGATAATTAAAGCATGTCACCATAATTTGCCTTTTTTTTTTTCTATAAAGCCCCGTAATTATGTTTTTATTGCAAGTGAAGGGGGGAAAAGGGGAGAAAGAAAACAAAGAGAGGCGGGGGTGGGGCAGGAAGTGGGCCTTGGTTCCCAGAGGGCCAGGTTTCTCCTCCCCCAGAACCAGGAGCACCCCCCTCCCCTCCCCGTTCGGGATACAGCACCCCGGGGCCTGCTTCACTTCCGGGGTCTGTCCCAGGTACTCCCTGCCTGAGCCCTCTTCTCACTGGCGTCCTCACCAGCTGCTCTCCGCCTTCTTAGCAACCCAGTCCCCGTTTGCTTCAAAGTGACCCAGAGGACGGGGCCAGGGAGAGCTGAGAGCAAGTTTGGGATTCTCCAGCTGGGAATGAGCACATGGGAGTTCTTTATACTCCTTTGGCATATGTTGGACATTTTCCATAATAAAAAGTTAAATAAAACTCCATGTCCAGGAAGGGGCCTGCTGGCTGGGATCCTGTCTCAGGGCGCTTACTCTCTT